GCTGGATACTCCTACTGTTGGCTTATCTGAAGAACTCTTAGCCCATGTTACATCTGAAACAGTCTTATTCTCAACATTTGCCACATCACTCAAGTATGTTCTTCCTTCTTGACTCTTCATCTTCATAGCATATGTTTCACTCCCTCTGATATGGAACTTTGCGACTCTATTCGGTTGACAGGTATCATTACCATATAAGGCTTCCCTATCACCTCTGTTACTCAGAAGTTCAGAACCATCTAGAGGCAGCAACTGAGAACAGTCAGTATCTGTACCCTCAGATACTTGTTTTGAAACGTCATTCTTAGATTTGGAAACTTCAATACTTTTAACAAAACTTTTACCATTTTTTGAGAATAATGTGGTTTCCTTGTTAATACTACCCTTTGGGCAGGTACTACCATTCTGTTTACAACTTTCACAATTTTTACTAGAACTTTTATTTTTGGTATTACATCCTTCATTTTTTCTGGAAGACAAGGGCATTTTGTTGTCACTGTCTTTATTGCAATAATTTTCATCACCAATTACTTGTTTTGGAACTCTGACAGAATTATCTGAAGTATTCGTAAAAGGGACTTGATTATTCGAGGTTGTTCCCAACAGAAATAAAGTGTCACTTTTCTGGTTGCTTCCACTTGTGATACTCCTACTAGCAACATCACCGTTTCTTGTTGCAACAACATCAACATATCGAACAAGACCCTGACTAGCCCTATTTGAAGTATCTGTAACACCATCACACCTGGAAAATAGACCAAACATAACCAAAGAATTTCACAAACTCATTCGACAACACAGTAAAACAGTAATGTAAGTATTGCTAGTGGTGTCCTGACTTACTACATCATTAAAGTTCAATACACATTAATTATTAAGAAAACATGCATTAAAATGTTATAACACATCCTCACAATTGCCTGGATGGGGTGAGGAAAATTAAACAGCAGCTTCGAAAAATTAGCAGAAATAGTGCCATAACAATAGGATTATTAATACTGACCTTACATTGGTTGCACAGCGTACACACAGAATTGCATGGTCCATTATTGGAGTTGCTTGTGTAGCGCAATCAACAAGACCCTGTCGTGGACAAGTGCAGCTGTCACAGTGCTTTATATTAAGACGTTCACGTTCTCGTTCCTCCAAAACTTTGGCCATGATAGCAGCTGATACTATGTCAACAGGAGGTTTTGAGCTGGAAGACTTTTCATGACAGTCCTCATCTTTATCTGAAATTAAAGTTACCAGATGTGACTGTCACATAAAACTCCTGCAATGAAGAAAAATTGTTATCTCTTTTATAAGACTGAAAGTTATTCTTTCTACTCAACTTTTTTACCTGTATATTCCTACTGCTTGTATTATTTTTAGCTTACACCAAAGATGAATTGCCAACACAAGCTCTCTTTTATACCATAACTCTTCTGAAACCAGTAACAGTGGGCAATCTATAAGATGCAGAACAGAAGGTGGCATCTGTTTGCTACTAAATAATAAAATAAATCATAGTTGAAGATATCCGTCTTCTGGGTTATTGCGCTGTGTAGTCTGGTCGATGTTAACCAACGTTTCAGAGGTCATACTGCCTCCGTCATCAGGGCGATATTCATATTCATCGCCCTGATGACGGAGGCAGTATGACCTCTGAAACGTTGGTAAACATCGACCAGACTACACAGTGCAATAACCCAGAAGACGGATATCTTCATACTCACCGCTGTGAGAACCTCAAGTCTTACATAAATCATAGTTCATTACATGTGAGTAATGGAAAGAATAAACACGCAAAAAACATTCCAACAGTTACATGGAAAGGGTTAGAAAAATATTCACAGGGAACAGAAATAAATGTATTTACCTGCTGAAACTTTATTAATGGAATACACCATTGCAGTAGGTGGAAATGTTGGAATGGGTACTTTGATAATTTTTGGTTCTGATTTGTTGACAGCGGTGGTTCCACTATTCCCATCAGATGGTCTTCGCTTACTGCTCACGTATGTTCTCACTTTCTGTTGCAAATCTGCTGGCAACTGCGACACATACAATTCATTAAATAAAATTACACCACCTTTCCACACAGCTATGATCTATTTTCTGTGAAAATGCATACAGCCTTTCATATTGTCATAAAGAGAACAAGAATAGGTATCAATAAACAATTCAGCATTTGCTAACAGATGAGAGAAACAACTGATTATATTAAATCATTGCCTGTAACATCCTACACAGTATAATACAGCCATGATGTTGAACACAACTGTCACCTGTCAGCTCTTGGCTGGAACTGCATGACTCACTACCAAGTGCAAACAGAAATTGCCACTAAAATTATTCACACAACATTGTGTTGGGTACTGGTTATTGTTATGTGTAGATATGGGCTGTATTACTGATAAACAGCATATTTTTATGTATGAACCATTTTTGAAATGTGGTTCTGTTAGAAAGTGTTAAAAGAAATTTTGCCATGAATTTCCTAAGTATCACAGTTACAAGCACAACAGGCATCCATAAACTAATTAAGAAAGTCAAGTCTACTAGGTCACTTCTGGACAAGAAACCTGCTTCACAAATGCCATGTGCTTACCAAAGAAAAACTAGACAAGTTAGGGGGAAAAAATGCATACAACATTTCAGTCAACCTGAAAAATAAAGACTATTGATAGGTACACATGGAAGGATGATACTAAAATGGATCTTATAATGGAATACGAGGGTGTGGACTGGACTCATCTGACTCTTATGAATATGATAATGAACCAACAGGTTCCATTATTATTTCTTGTGCAACTGAGACACTATTAGCTTTCCAAGAAGGACTCTGCTTCCTGGAGTTACTTACTGGTACACACCTACCCTGAGAGTTGTGAATGAAGAATAAACTGGCTTATTCCACAGAGGGCAGTGCCATGAAAATGATGATCTACATGGCCAACACATACAAATGATATGCAAGTATTAATGAGAGAAATATATTCATGCACAAGCATATAAATGGCTGGTACATTAATATTTACCATATCAAATTTATGAGAAACAAAGTTAGCAGGCTTGCACTGTAAGAGCTGTATAGCAAGATTCACATCATTTCTGTACCGTTCCTGTAAAACAAATCAAAACAAATATCACAGTCTTGTTCCACAAGTAGAATAGCCAGCTTTCATTTGCATTGCAACATACATTCTCATCTTGAAGATGACAAATCTTTCCTTTGGCCTCAACTAGTTTTTGAGTCAAGCTTGTCACATCTCTTGTTAGTGAATTCTTCTCTGTTTCACACTTATCCACAATTTTCAAGAGCTTATCCTCCAGATTCTGATTAACTTTTTGTACACGTTTATGGGACTCATACAGCCTGGAAGAAAGTAACTGTTATCTCCATATTCCAAAACATACACTGCATAAGCAAAAGAACTAGTAAATTGATGGGTAAGTGTTAATGATGCTTTTCAACTGCATAGAATGAATCGTAGGATGATGCTGAATTACAAAATGCAAATTATGCTGAATGAATTGGTCACAGATTATTTTAGGACGTAATCTAAACATTTACCTATATGGGCTGAAGAACGCTACAGAAATCTTAGAACAGTCATAGTTATTATCCATGAGGAAAGTATTGACTGACCTTTTTCAACTTTTACAACAGACTGAAGTGGTACATCATACGGAAAATAAATTCTTATGTAATGTAAAGCATATGCAAAAGTATACGTGAACTGCAAGCCAACGTAAAAGCGTCAAAAGAGTGTTTAATAAGGCTTTATAATATGTATAATGTTCTAAGCTCTGTATTGAGTTACAAGAGATATAATGTTTACTGAATCTTTGATACCTTGAATATTTTTCTTGCCAAGTTAATAATTCTTCAGCGAGTGCTGCAAATTCACCATTGGGAAATTTTTCTGCTTCAGTAAGAAAATTTGTTTCCATGTTAACAATGTGGTGTTCACGTTCCAAAATGCGCTGCTTCAGATTTTCAATCTCCACATGAAGATGCAGATTTGTTTGATCTGAACAATTCTTGCAACTCCAGCCACATTCCTGCAATAAGTATTATAAATTTTCAAGGCTCTAAATGCCTTCATCTGAGGACTCAGTGTGAGAATCTTTTTCACTTCTATGCAGTACTTGCATGTATAGAGGAAACAGGATACCACAGTCAGTACACGACTGACTACAGTGCGGACTGGGGTTTGATTCATGGCATGGGCAAAAGGATTTTTCTTCTGTCCATACTGGCTGTGGGGCCCACCCAGCCTCCTATGCAATGGGTAGTAGGGGAGGAGTCTTTTCCCCAGGGGTAAAGCAGTCAGGGAATGGTACTGACATCTCATCCCACATAGTGTCAAATTTAAGAACAAGTAGGAGCTATGCCTCCCAAGTGTCTTCACAGCATGTTTCTATGCATGAAATCAACATACATACTTTCAATTCAAACTTCAATGTTTTCCATTATATTAGAAATATTTACAGTATCTTTCAGGCTACTGTCAATATTACTATAAGATCACGGTGCTCTGGCACATATAATGGCTTCAGTACACTGTGCTTAGTACTGGTAAGATAATGTTGGCATTTAGTGTGGGAACCATGGTCTCAAGACTTGCTAATGTAATCTCAAAAGTATTTTCTACTTAAATTATAAATCTGTAATGTTAAATAATGAATAACTGTCAGTCAGTAATGAGTTTACACATATCATGTGTCTACATCAGTGGTCCCCAACGTGGCGCCCGCTAAGCCTTTTTTTTGGGTGCCCGCGTTGGTATGGAAAGAGGTTATACTGAATAATGAAGGCCATTCAACCATGAACATTATAAAATCAAAGCACAGATCTCAACTTACTGATGCCAAATGAATGAATCCACCTTCACTTATTTTGAATCCGTATGTCTCTCTCTCTCTAAGTAATAGTTCATGTTCTGAGAAACCGTAATGTCCTTAAGCACAAATTATAACAAACAAATCATTATAATGTAGAAAGTGTGGCAATACCAAATAAAAGATTAAAGTAAAAAATGTGAACAAACTGACAGTTGGCTTCATAATAAATAACAGTGTGGTATTAAAATAAATAGAATAGACATCCACCTGCCTTGCATGTAATAGTGCGTTGTGCCATCATCTAAAACGTGCACACTTTGGTATTACAAATCTTGACTGCTGTGTTGTCATAACCTTTAAACCTGAAATTTGTATGCAGTTCTACTGCAAAGTTGTAAACCCGTGTAAAAAAACATGTATCAATTATACCAAAATAAAAATCTTTAATGGCCACCGAACACATGGAGAATTATCTGCTAATTATTAATATTACTAAACACACAGTACTGAAGGTCGATTCGGTGACGTCTGTCACACAAGCATATAGCTTATATGATGTGTTCACCACATTCACTACTATCATCACACGACATTAATTTCTCATAAACACAACTCTAATTCAAACACATAAACTTTTGTTACTTAAGGATGTTATTCCCGTCAACGTGTCAAGGAATACTAGGGATTGTCACACACAAATTACAGCAGCTCCATCTATTGCATTGCATCCCAATAATGTATTCCACGGGTTAACAATTTTAGCTGGTATTGTCTGTGATATCTTGAAATATAATCAGTGCAGAATTGTCATTACTTGAAAATTAGAGCCAATATGAGATACCATTGCTTAAGGAGTTTTGTTGGTCAACGTGTTTTCGAGCAAAAAAGGTGCATATAAATATAAAATGACTACGTTCGTATAGTGTAATTATGTTACTATTATTTCTGATAAATTATAAGCTTGAAGGTGCTGTAGTTTCCAGTGGCGGCTCGTGCTTTCTCTGACGGGGAGCTTTGCACAGCGAGATTTAAAATAAAATTCTTAAATTCCGGTGTATGTTAATATCGTCAAATGCAAGTATCAGTGGCTACAGCGTCAGTGGAACCGATATTACTACTAAGGAGTTTTAAGTCGTTTTGTCAACACCCTCATGCTGAAACCTATTTTTTGCATACATTTTTATCACATCTGCAGAATGTGCCTAGATATTCTTTATCCTTCATTAATCCCATATAAAACGCCTGTTACACGAATTGCCTCTTCAAACGGGACACATCTCGTAAGGCTGTACCTGAAGGTGCTTTGTCACATTTTGGGACGTCGCAGCTGTTAAATTAGAAATATGTTATATGAACGATTCATATTTATATATTATATTCGCATATGTGTAACAGTGTATATATATATATATATTCCAACATATATAAAGTACAATGATGTCTAAATATTTTGTGGGTCGCTTCCCCTAGAAGGACTGTATGAAAACAGTGGCCAATTATGAACAAACACTGTTGTTTTTCCATTCAATTTTCTGACTTCATTCCGACAAGTTGGTTGCAATGATGAAATCTAGTTTGGAAATAAAACTACAGAGGGTTAAAGAGGCGAATGTGGTATCCACCATTTTGTTAAGATGTGTTGAAGTTCAATAGTCTTAAAGTTGTAATATTTCATGAGTCCCTTAAATCCGGAGAGGAAACCATAGTGTACTATTTATCTTCAGGTAATGTAGAATATAATACTTTTCCTCAAATGATTGACTGTGTATCTACTTGTAGTTCGCAGTAATCAATCTGCATATGAAAATCTTCTTGTGTACTTAGCTTGTATATTTACTGCTCGCAAGCAGGAATTTATATGGATTGCGGAGAAATATTGTAGTAAGAGAGTTTTATAAAATGTTACATGTGCAACGTGTACTTTATGAACTTTCCGATCTAATATACCTAGCCTCGGCTTGCAAGTCAAGAGTTGGCATATTCGCGCCAAGTCACCGGAATTTATATTACGGTATCCACGAATGTAATTAGATTTTGTACGAAGCCGATTGCTACGTCATCCAGTATCGAAATCAATAATTGTTAACTAGAATCTGCTCAAACCTCCTTGTGGTTTACGGTTTGAATGACTAAAATGATTATATTTTTGACGTAAATACGCCTATACGGAAGGGTCATTCGGCAAAAAAGCGTTAGGAAGGTGTGTAAGATCCATACCAAAAATGTGTAAATTGTTATGTCATCTATTCGGCATTGTTGTGTTTCATTACTGCCGTCAACAATCCGCTTTCGTTATTGCGGAAGGAGCTTTTCTGTGAATCGCTTGTAGAAGAAGTGCGTCTTAGAGTAGATAATATTGTGCTGTTAAAAACGTTTTAGAATATCACAAGTACTTATCTTATATAAGAATTATTAAGAAATCTGTGATACTGCCCTCCACTCTCTCCATTTTAGTTTTGATTAAATTGATCATTGCCGGTGGACATTGTGGTCTCTTACAATTGAACAAAGTTTGAGGTAAGGGATTCCTATTTATTGTTCCTGACATTTAATGTTTTCATCTGCATTTGTGAGCTCGTGTAAGAGAATTAGGCTTGTCTTCGTTTGACGTAAATACGTCTATACGGAAGGGTCAATCTGCAAAAACAGCGTTAGAATAAAGCTAATATATAAACTTCCTTTCAATGTATTTATTGCCTAAATATAATTTAAACACAAAGACGTATTTACGTCAGATTGTGCGGAAACGTGTTTCCACTGTCAATTTTTTGCTTTGAAAATAGGATTTCTGTTGTTATTTACAGGTGTACTGCTCTTTCATGTGATTAATTTGTGGTCATTACAATCAGCTTCTCTTTGAGGTTATTTCAGTAACATAAAGAAGCCATGAAACTATTGTGATTTTCTCTGTTTCCTTTGTTTTTCTTTCTTAGTCCACTCCAGCAAATCATAGTCATCTTCAGATGAACTCTTTATAACATCACATCCCAAAATAAGGAAATGTCATACATTAATTACTGTATTTTCATTAAGATTTTCCCCATCTCTGAATTAGTTGAAATTTCAGCTTGGTTGTGCACATTATTTTCAGTCTGTGATATTATATTTCTCCATAACTTTTTTATGGACTCTGTCGACCTTTCAAATTTACTGCCTCTGCACAAAATTGGACTTCATTCAGTTTTGACAAGGTAATCTGCTTTTGTTATTTCATGAGAAGAGATCATCATTTTCTTCTTGGTCTAAAGTCATTCTTCTTTGTGACTTTGCAACGAGTTACGACATTTATCTTTTTATATTCTAGTTATTTGCTTTAAAACATTCAGACCCACAAACAGCAACTTCTGATTATAACTTTATAGCTCTAAATACCAGTTGTCCGAAATTTCTGATGTGGTGTGGGATTTAGCATTTGTTGTACCTGTTTTCACATATAAATGACAAATTATTGTTGGAGAATGGGACAAGTAGCATGTAGAGAAAGTCACTGAAATGTTATTCTTTCAAGGTGTGTTAAAAATATAGTTGCAGAAACATGTTTTTTTGTTCATAGTAATTTGGCTGTGGCCTTAGTGCCAGAAAATTAGTGTATATTTTATTTTACCTTTTCATTAAAATTTGATCTTTTCCAACTAGCAGATTGAAGGAACTCCCAAAGAAACTATGTTCTTGTTCATTTTTCAGATGTCAATTGATCCCAGTGAAATTGTACAGGCCGGCTCCACTCTATACGAAGCAAATCCTGGGAGTATCCCCAGTACATACATCCCAACTACTTCAGCTGGCAGGTCAGTGTTATATTTGTGTAACATTTAATTGTTCATGTTTAATAGTTTATGTATACAAGGTCATCCTGATATAGTACATTGTATGGGTAATATGTGGAGAGATAGACATTCACTTATTCATGAAGCTCAAATCATAACATACTGTGCAGTTTCTTAATCTGTAACTTATATCATCCCTTGGTTCCCTGTTGAAAAAGATCTGTACATAACTTATCTCTGTATTCTGTTGATATGGATAGTAAATTTGTTTTTGTAGCCTTAAGACTTTAGTTCATACTGACTCAGTTTTAGTTTTCAGAGTTTCTTTGCCCATGTTTATTTTGCAGTCTGTCTTACGTTGCATTCTGCTTTAATTAAATGTCTATTTATTTTATATATATATATATATATATAGAGAGAGAGAGAGAGAGAGAGAGAGACAGAGAGATTGAACATAAAATGGAAGCTGTAAGTTGTTGTCTCCAAGATTTTATAGTGTAAAGCCCAAATATTTTAATGTGATCATAATTATTTATTAAGTATATTATATTAATGATAATTGTGATTGGTTATGGCCGGCCGCAGTAGCCACGTGGTCTGAGGCATGGACCTCGTGTGCCTGGCCGCTGGGACCGTGGGTTCAAGTCCCACTGAAGGCATGGATGTTTGTCCGCGTCTTTCTGTGTTTTCCCACCAAGGAGTCCTACCATTGTCCAAACAGATCAATTAAATGAATAAATAAACCTCGACACCTACGGGTAAACGAGGATGTAGAGAAAGAAGAAGAAGAAGTGATTGGTTATAATTAAGGATTTTTAAGTATAGTGTTTTGAAAGGTGGACTAAGCAAATATTCTTCAATAAGCTTACTGATATAATACATTTGTATTGTATAAATAATTTTTAAAGGTGGTGACTCAACATAACAACAACACAAATAAATATTCTAGAAGAAGACTGACTTTAGACATTAATTGATCTGCAGTTTCGTAGTCTCATATCTCTTGACTAACTGCTTGCTTTAACAGCCTCACTATTTAGCAGGGTAATGTACAGAAGAAAAGACAGCCTCACAATTTAGCAGGGTAATGTACAGAAGAAAACATAAATTGTTTGTGTAATATTTTTATTTAGTGTCGGTTTCATGGTGATGTCGTACCCGGGACGACCGCCCATGGTTCCCGGGATTCCTACAATGCCTCCTACAATGGCCATGCCATACATGCAGCTTGGAGGTGAGTTGCTAGTTAACCAATATGGGAATAATCGTGATCATCCGTATGGAATTAATTTGCTGCCCAGAGACTTTTTCTCTTGAAGTTTTCAACATTTCAGGTTGTTTGCGTTTACTATAAATTACCTCCCTTGTGCTTTGAGAATAGTTTTTAGTTTTGTGTAACATACTGTTCAGTGTTGGAACTTTCATGGGTAACATGACACAGACTTTACAACTGGGGTGTGATTCCCTAGATGTATTCAGGAATCTTTCTCTTCATTGTTGTATCTGAAATGGCCGGGCCCCATTCAGCCACCCATCTCGTCCCGTGAATATTGGCAGTGAGATCGAGAAACCACCTATTTACCTTCTGTTTGACAAAGTAGTAGTTGGTGTTCTACATTACTTGTTGTAAGAAAATATGAAAAATTAAACACAGTAATGTTTGTAGAAACTAGCAGATAATTCAGAGGTGATAATTGTTATTTGTTCAAGTGTTAAAATGGCTCTGTACATGTGCACCAGGCACTTACACATCGAGGTAAAGTAAATTCTGTATGTTATAACTATCACTGCATCATAATAATTATACACTCTTGTTTATAAATTTATGATATTGTACTTACATGCCAACAGAAATTTGTCAGCATGTGCAAAATTTTAACAGTTCAACTGTACTTTTGTGACTGCCTCTGTCTCTTATCTTCTGGGAAGAATGTATATGCTTTGTGGGGCTTATTAGATGAAGCTAATTTTTATAACTGAACTCATATTTCATACACACGAGTTAAAAGAAATGGTTGTTTCTTAGACCATGTAGCTTCAACCGACAGTCACAAGTTAACAAATAGCTGAATGGACAGATTTTGAATCTTAACAGTGCATCAATATCCAGAGCTCTGGCATGTAACTAAGCCACGTGCTATGTGTCTGTGGTCTCTTATGATATAAAATTATTTTTCTATTACAGCACCTCCACCATTGATGCAGGCTGTTATGCCCATGCCACCACATGTAAGTTTTAGGTATTCATTTCATAATGAGATCGAATTCTTGTGAAATTCTACATGAACATCTTGATATTGGTACCATACTGTCTTTGTTGGTTGATAACAGTGCTTGTGCTTTTCAACATAACGGCTTTGTATAGTGATACATTTTTTAATTCATCTGCAATGAAGGATATTTAAATTAAGTCTCTACTGCAGTGTTGGAGGTTATTTAAATATTAAACCTTCAAAATGCAACAGTTTCATAAGTTGGCCCAAACTCTTAGGAAAACTAAGATAAATTCTAGAGAATCAAATTGCTCATTCTATCTCACCTTAAAAATGTATTTTTTGTGTAATTGTATAGTATTTGCATTTTTATAGGTTCATACATGATGGAAACAAAACAAACTACTGAACTGTTCAAACTGAAGAATTAGAAATTTAGAAATGTGTATAGGAGCCATACTCTGTGATGCCAGATCATGAGTTATGTACCAAACAAAAGCATGCAACGTGGTCTGTAGAGATGTGCCTTTCATTTTAAAAAGATGTCGATAAGAACACATCAAAATTTTCAGCAAAATTGAAACTCTGTACTGTACAGCTTTGGATTTCAGGGATGTGCTGCGTTAAATGTTGAACGTTATCTAACATTTTGGCAAACATTGCAGTTACCATTTTCAGGGTGATTGTATATTAGCTGGGCATTTTTTGGAAGTCTTGTTTAAAGTAGGCAGTAGGTGGCAAGTGGGATGTTACATATCTGATTGGCATAGTTAAAGGAGCTGGCTGCTATTCATTTGATAATGAGCACATGATTAAGGTACATTTCCAAAAGTAAAAGCTGTCAATCGAGCTCCAGCCATGAAAACTTAAGGACAGGAATTGAAGTGATTTTTTTCTTTGAATGAAATATGGCCATAAAATAAAACAAAATTAAAGAATTCAAAACTTACATGACAGTAGAAAGAGCAGACCTTTGTCTTCAGAATCATCACATGATATTTTAAGTACTTTTAAAGACTTATAAAAGAGGGCATTATAAAATATGTTCTGTGTTGGTGCAGTGTAACAATGCCAGCAGTATACAGTGACAAGGAAGAAAATGAAAGTTTTGGAATTTGGCATGAAAGGGTTAAATTTTGAAAAAAATTTACTAGGATTACATTTTAGTAATGTGTACTTCAGATGATACCTGGACCTCCAATGCCTCCACTGCCTGGGCCTCCAATGCGCCCGTACAGGCCACATCCTCACCACCCACAACATAGTTCTGGATTACGCACCAACTCATTCAGCAAGAGACAACATGAGCCATCAGGACCACCTGTAACAGTTTTTGTAGGGAATATCACTGAACGAGCACCAGATGCAATGATAAGACACATCCTTGCTGCATGTGGCCATGTTGTGTCATGGAAGAGAGTGCAAGGTAATTACATCCAATCAAATATTTTGCTTATTGGGATGTGCGTTTGCATGTTTTTAAGGTTTGTTGAGCACAGGTCACCTTGTACATTTTTTGGTAAGACTGTATATTTATTTCATCCATCTTACTATGGGAACCTGGGTTTAATCCTAGGAAACTTCACATGAGATTTGTGGTTTATGAAGTAGTGGTGATATCCCCCCTGCTAATTATCATTCTGGTGTTGCTGCGTACTCATCTGTCACTGTCCAGTGAGGTGTGTGACAACCCTCACTGAGCAGCACATTATTATACACTTGATCTTAAGTTACGGGTACTGTGTACTGCCAGATGGAGGATACAAACTACAAAGATTCTCAGTACATGATTTTCTGTGGTCATCTGTTGGTTAATTTGTCTTTAGTAATAGTACAGTAAAACGTATGTTACAAGTCTTTGTATAGCAAAGAAATTGTATGTTCATCTATGACTGAAAAAGATTTCACTGTTATAATATGTACTGTCTTCTGAATTACAGCATTTGGCTTTTGTGAGTATGGCAGTCCGGATTCTGGTCTGCGGGCTATCCGGCTTTTGCATGACATGGACCTCGGGGGAAAGAAATTGGTGGTGAAGGTTGATGCCAAGACAAAGACTGTGTTAGATGAATATAAAGGTACTCACTTCTCTGGAATAATTGCAGTTAGTGAACAGATGTTAAAACAAAATATTTTTAACTGATATATGTGGGTCAAATTTAAAAGCTCGTGATTGTGGTGAGTTATTTAAATAAAAAGTTCTTTGGTTATTTTCCATCGTCTAGTAAAAAAAAATAGAAATCGACGTTTCGGAGATGGGACTCTATCTCCGTCTTCAGGTACCTACTCTGTTGGGCCCAATAGATAGAGCTAATCCCTATCTCCAGAGATGTTCTTAGCTGCAGAAAGATTCATAATAAAGAACATTTATCCTAATGTCTATCTAGACTTGTTGAAACTGCTGTTATTTGTATAGTGTAGAATTGTAAAATAAGAATATGAACTTCTGTTTGTTTGCAGCTGACCGTCGCCGGAAGCTACTAGGGCGATCACCTCTTCAGGATGAAACCCCAGATGAAGATGACTATATTGATGAAGCAATAAAGCACAGTGATAAAGTTGCCATGGAGCGCATCATGGTGACCATGGAGGACTATGAGTCTGATATGAATAACTACTCTGGCCCACTTGGCAAGGGGGATCGAAACAGATCAGGTAAGCCGTGAAAAATTGCATCATTGCATTTTACATTCCATATGCAATAAAGTCTGTATTTAGTGCTCTTAATTTAAGTAATTCTTTTAATGTTAAATTTATGTGATTCCTTGCTCTGTATCTCGGGATTTTTTCACTTGTTTATTGTTCAGACCGTTTCTGACAGGCGAGAAACATTAAATGGGGGACTTGAGGTTCTCACAGCGGTGAGTATGAAGATTTCCGTCTTCTGGGTTGTTGCGCTGATGACAGAGGCAGTATGACCTCTGAAACGTTGGTAAACATCGACCAGACTACACAGCGCAACAACCCAGAAGACAGAAATCTTCATTAAATGGGGACTTCACTGAATTTTATATTTTTATGTTCTGTTGGTATGCTGTCTGTCTTTAATTGTATTGGACATTTTCTTGGAAAATATAAAATTCTCATGGTTTATGCTAAATGTTTGAAGACAAATTGAGGAACAATAAATAAGTATGAATTAAGCAGAGTAAACCATGGTTATTTCATTCTTCCAGTCTTTCCGTCTGATACAGATCCATTCTAGAGCACTGATATTACTTTTTGTGTTATTTCTTCAGAGAGTAAAGATCGTAAAATGTCCAAAACACAAGAGAAGCTGCTGAAACTCAGCCAAGGACAGGGTCAAGGCCATGACGTTCCTCAAGGAGATGCTGGATTGGTAAGCTGGAAAAGTATTCATTAAAGTTTAACTAACTCTTGAAATTTTTATTGTTCATTGTCACAAACTATTATATTCTTTTTACATTTTTTTTTGTTTAATTGTCTAAGGTTACAACATCCTATTTTTCAACATGTTTTGAATAATGTTGGTCATCTTATGCCTAAATGGCGAATGAACTCGGATCAATCTGTTGGCCAAAATACGCATTTAGTCAGCATGTCATAACATTGAACGAATATGTATGTTCAACAGATGTTAACAGCGAGAAGTCAACTGAATGTTGTGTCTTGGTGGTTGGCACCAGATCATATATAGGTGGTCTGTGGTTCAAATTTTATTCTTGAGGCTGATTATCCTGTTAGATATTTTTTGTGGTTTTCCTCCGTCCCACCAGGTGAGTGTTGTGATGGTACCTTAAGTTAGGTCGTGGATTTTTCCTTCCACTTTCTAATTCATTAATCACATCATTCAACACTATACAGTCTGAGCTTTTGACAGTAAACTACAAATAAAAAATTAAGCAAGAAGTCAGTGCCAAGTCATGCATGTTTGCAGATACTGGAAACCATTTCAGAGATCAGATGTGCTGTACTTTCTTGTCCTGCGTGCAGCTCAGGTCTCATGCTGTTTGGCCTTTAATAGTTCACCACTCTGTGAGATTCTCTACAGGAGGACCATTTTGAATCTGATGGTACTCTAAAGATTACTGCTTACTACTGGCTGTATCAGCAAGCTAAAACGGTTTTCCGTGACTATTAAATTGATGTGCATCGCCACAGGCTTGGGAGAATGTAATGAATGATGGCAAAATAAATATACAAATGTTTTCACATATGTTTTTGTTTTTCTTGTAATAAAACTCTTCTCAGAAAAGATTTGGTAGTGTTTAAGTTTGTGGTGACTCAGATATGATATATTTATGTCCATTTGTGTCTGCTGTTGCAGTTGCTGGATGATGTGGACATTGAGGAAGGAAAACGAGATCTAATTACACGGGAGATTGGGAAGTTTCGTGAGATCATGAAGGTAAAGGTTACATCCTTCACTCCAGACAGGGTTGTAGATTATGTGGGGCACTTAAATATTGTAACGTTGTTAGTCAGTTGGAAATCATTCTTTGTGGCTGTGTTTGTAGCACATGAAGGTTTGATTTACAGCTGACAACATTTCGATTAGATACTAAATGCAACACAGAGTTTTAATTGAATTATGTGTGGAAAGCAATGCAGGCTGGGGTTACTATGGGGTGACAGAGATTCCACAGTTGGTACTGTGATTTGGAGTTTAACACTATGGGGTTTTGGTTTCTTTATAGTTCTGATCGCTTCCACCAAATCATTTATCTCGTTCCCACCCCTACAAAGCGACATTGAAGTTTCAAAAAGCGATAATGCTTGTCTACAGCATCGAAAATAGTTTCCTAGTCGCACAGATTTAACTGACTCTGGTCTTCAGGATAATTTAAATGGACTATATGAAGGCATATAAAAATTGTGCATCAGAGCTGTGTGTGATTGTAGGAACCTTGGGTATTGTGCTCTGATGAAGAAGGAATGTAAATACATAATTTGACATTCTTGTAGTGATAAACGTTGATAACCTCCTCATTGCTGTTGAATTGAACAGTTGTTGGTTCACCTTACAATCTACCTCCGAGCGTAATTTCTCGTATACTTCCGTTCATTCAAACTTATTTTTTGTTGTAATAAGCACATCATGTTAATAACTGCCGTACTCTTGTTTTGAGGATCTTGGGTACAAGCCTGTTTAGATTTCATCAAACACTGCTAGATATTTTTGCCTCTACCTTGTTTAGTGTCCAGTAGTGTGGCAATTTGGCGATATGATAAGCGGATCTGAGTGGCTGGCATATGGGCAGTCAAGGTCATTCCTACATTGTAGGTGTGGCAGGGCATTTATTACTCTGGAATGGAGCAGCAGTGTTTTGTTCATACTGTCGATTACCTGTCAAAAGTATACATGTTTCTACCGTACTTAGAACAAGTTAGGAAGTATATGCATAACATCAATTTTGGTGTGTTTCCTATAGATTTTTAGTTTATAAATACTTGTGTATAACTATTAGTTATCGTGGGCATTTGTTGTTCCTTTTGTATTTTTCTATAGACAGTGACCCCACTGTTATTTGGGGTTATTGACCTTTGTGTGGTTGGGGTGTCTGGTGCCTGTTTCAATTTGGTGGTGACATTTTTATGAGGAACGTATCCAGTGGGGAGTCTCCCATGTCATTCCAATGTCACTTGCAGAATCGCCAGAAGGTCTTCAAGTACAGTGTTTGTAATTGTTGTCCAGTTGAAAAAGAAATAGAATATGTTGACAAATTCTAGTAAAACTCGCAAGTATTACATTTCACAAAAATCATTTTGGCAGTTCTTTGTTGTTGGCGTGCAGACACAGATTTGCAGACTGGCAGGCATAATGAAGATGTTGTGCTCATTTTTGCAACTTCATTTTGAACATAATTAAAAAGACCAATTAATCTGTGAACGTATTGTGCTTGTTGCTACTGTATGGTACTGTTGTCCAGGGTAAATGAGTGTGAAATTCTGACCTTCATGATTCTCACATTTAGTGTCAGATTTTTAGTAGGGGGCGACACTGACAAGTCAGAATGACATTCATGGTGAAATCAAGAGCGGATTAAATTCAGGGAATGCTTGATATCATTCAGTCCAAAATATTTTGTCCTCTCATCTTATATCAAAAAAACTAAATATTAAAATATACAAAAGTGTAATTTTTCCATTTGTGCTGTATGGGTACAAATCTTGGTCTGCCAGGTTCAGGGAGGAGCATAGATTGACATTCTTTGAGAACAGACTGTTGAGAAAGATACTTGGCCCTAAAAGGGAGTAAGACAGATCATGAAGAAAATTGCATAATGATGAGCTTCACAGCCTGTACTCACCTGATATTGTTAGGGTGATCAAATCAAGGAGGTTGAGGTGGGAAGGACATGAGGCATGCATGGGGGGAGGGGTGTTTACAAGGTATTGGTTGGGAGGCCTGAAGGGAGGAGACCACTGGGAAGACCTAGGATTAGGTGAGAGGATAATGTTAAGATGGACCTTAGGGAGACGAATCAATTAAGTGAACTGGATGTAGCTAGCTCAGGATAGAGTCCGGTGGTGGGCTTTAGTGAACATGGTGATGAACCTTCGGGTTTCATAAAAAATTTCTTTGACAAGCCGTATATACACTCAACTTTTCAAAGAATTTCGTGCACCATAGAGTGAGTGTCAAACTTTTGTAGTCAAGGCTTATGTTCCACGCAAGTAATGTATAATTTTCTTTAAATTAATATTTTACTAGCATTTAGTAACATACATTGAGGATTTTATACCTTGCTGTAATGCAATTGAACAGTTGACATCACAAGTTATAAGGAAATATTATAAATTTTAAATTGTATGTTTTGCAAAGCCTGCTTCAGAATAATGTGATTAAGTGGATATGAAGTTAATAGCACAGCAGTGCCAACTTCCAAACTACACTGTTAATTTCAAGAACAGCCTTCGTCTTCAACTGCATTTTGTTTAATATACACCATATCAAGAATGTATTGAACATTGTAGGCACATTAATTGTACAGGTATTTTATGTCTTGTACCAATCTTTTGCATATCGAACTGAAACCAAGAACTTCGATGAAGCTTAACTTATACTTCACATAATATTGAATCATATTTAATGAAACATGAAAGATATAAATTGAATTTGCTTGTCAACTTTTATATAGGCTTATATTACCAAGTTTTGTCTAAATCTTTTGAATAGTTTTGGAGCTGGAGCATGAAATAATATTCTCCACTCTGTGCATTCAATGTATGCAGTTTTTCTGGAGTAGTCATCCAAGATTGGCATGCACATGTTATAGTGTAGTAGGCAGTCTCTCTCTTTATACCATGATGAAGTTTTCATTGTAAGGTGAACCAATCTCAGATATGTTTATCATCATAGTATCAGGATAGAAGCCCAGAGTCTGTGGTGCTGTTAGCATGTTGAATGATGGACCTGTACATAGTTTTGAATGATATAAGTTAGGCTAGATCAGTGACGTGACATGACGTGTGGTACTTCCTCACTCAAACCTAGGCAGCTGCGGGGAAGTCTGTCACGGAGTTGTTACAGCAGGCAGGCTAATGTGTGCGCACCAAGCGTGTCTGTCGGTGGTGAGTATGATGATGATGTGCGTGGCAGGTGTGTGCTGCTTGCTGTACTGCTGTAATATGAAAAAAAATTACACCTTGTGGTGGTTAACAAGTCACAGCCCAGTACAAGCAGGCTGCAACATGCTCCATGCTTCATAATGAGCTACATTACCTCCAGTATTAGTCTTACTAACTAAACTAGAAATTGTGGGGATAATTGCATGCTGATGAAGATGGTCTTGCTGACTAGTTTTAGCTTGCAGAATGGATTTATTAAGTATGATATTCTTCATTTGTGACAGAATTTTCTGTCCTGACAAAAATTTGTTTATGAAGTAAATGTAGATGTTTGTTATGATATCAGCAAATTTTCCATTTGATTAGGTTCATACTCCTGAGTGTCGTTTGTAAAGTAGTAACTACTGCTAAACCTTGTGTCACAGGCTGTGCATGAAGTTCCAGACTGTTTCATAAAAATCGTGTAATCTCTTAGGCAAGAGCTTAAAGTGTTCACTTTTGTGACAGGGGTCCCAAGTTCAAATCTTGTCCTGCAGATTGGCTATTCTTACTGAAGTCTTTTGTGATTTTCCTCAGCCCCTCAAGGCAGATGCTGTGATAGTACTTTGGAATCAGCCAATGGCACACTATCTTCCATGTTTGTATCAACATTTATTACGTCATCCAACACAATATAGGCTAAGCTACTGAAGGTGTTGTTTAATAAATCATAAATAAATAAACAATCTATCGAACAATAGTTTTTCAAATCAGGTTTTATGATGATGAACATGAGTGGTGTTGTGTAGAAAAATAAAGCATTGGCATATTTTAAAATTTGTGATTTTAACAAACTGAAATTATGGATGGTATACTATTCTCTTCTGCAAGCTTTGCTGGTCACCGCCATCCATTTATCCACCCATTTCCCTTAATTAGTAGAAGTGATCTGTTGTTATGTGAAGTGTGGTTTACTTCTTCCTCTTCTGGTGAGTTTGGAGATGACAGGTAGGAACAGAACAGCACAATTACTAGGTGAACATTTGTTTCACATCACAATTTTTTTTTTTTTAGCATAGATTGAATAGTGTTACCAATTTGCAGAGTGGTAATAAAGAACGAGCGTAAAAGTGAAAGTTCAATTAATCTTTCAATCCTGAGTGCCAGTTTCCTATTTGTTTGTATCGGTCATGGATCCACTACGTAGACACACTGTAAGTATTATAACTTAATGTTGAATTTTGTCATTCCACAGTGTTACATTAAATGTTAAAAGATTTTACAAATTCTTGAACTTTGTGAAAAATATTTTTCCTTAACTTCATCATTGTCATAATTTCATGTTATCTTAGACTATATTGTTATGTTTTTATGGTGCGATCACATAATGTGGGTGTCAGATTGTATGTATTGTGTTGTGAGCAGCCCTTTCTTACAGCAATCATAAATATATACCTCCACTCCCCAATCATCTCTGCTCCCAGTTCTTCCTTTCACATCGTTGGGTCCACCATCTATCATCTCTGTAAGTAACAACAAGAAGAATAACTGAACTCCTTCAAATCAGTGAATATGAACGACCCTCTTGTGATCTTTGTGTTTTGGTCTTTAGTTATATTATGGCTAATCAGGAAAGAACATCAAAAATTTGAGCTGTTTTCCCACATAATATTTTTCCTTTTTTAATTTTATCTGTAGTCTTGTCCTGAAGCTGGTTTGTCATATAGCAGTATTTTTCATATTCCTGTCTATTGGAATTCAATTGTGATAATGTGATTGAAGAAGTGTTTTGAGTTCATAATTATAACTTTAAGAGGTGATGTGTTAACACAACATGTATTTAGTAATTTACTTTTA